CTCCACTTCAGATGGTGCCATTGTTATGATGGAGATCAGAGATGACTTGCTCAGAAGTCACTCATTACAGCTCCAGCCCTGGCTGAAAGGGAAGTGTGTCACTTGCATGACACTGATACTGTGGTGTTCCTCTCTTCCCAGGACTAAAACTTTCGGTATAGGAAAAGAACAGGAGTCACAGTAAATTTTACCATCTGCCTTCGAAAGCTGGTTGATTACAAAAAGAGACTATAATTATGAAATACAGGCTTTTCTTATTAACTGGGGAAGAGGAGGGATCAATTCCAAGATTTCAGCCAGATTTAAGAGGCAGCTGACTCATGGGCTGGTTAAAGTGCCAGTCCTATTCAGCTACACTGAAGAACCAGACACTGGTTCATAACCACTTTAATAAAGACAAATGCAGCCACAACTGACAAGTATTCTAGCCCTGCTTCTCAGCTGCCACCAACCAGAGTGCAGGTTTGTGGTGGAACTGATTCTTCATCACCATCACCCTTCCAACTCATATAGGTTGATGCTTCTCTTACTTTAATGTGGATCTACAACACATTTTTTCTGCATTTGTTTGGAAGGAAAGGGCGCTTGATATACTGAGAAGAGGTACCAGGTGAACCAAAATTTCATTTCAACCATGGAAGATAGTCAAGAAATCTACCAAGGTATAGAAAATGAGGGTATACGTTGAAAGGACAAACTGCAATAATTTTAAGAACCTACTGTAAGTTCAGGCATTCTGGCTGTGGTGATGAAGTTGTTGTGCACTCATTACTATGCAGACTTATTTATTATTTATTTACGCATGCAATATATATGCTACCTGTCCCAATAAAGCTTCAAGGCAACTCACAGTAAGAGAACAGAATAGGAGACTGACAAGAAAAAAAAGAGCAAGAAAACAAAACAACTTAAAAGGGGAATATAAAACAGAAACCCACTAAAGAGTATCTCAGCATGGCTTTGCTTGCTAAATGCCTGACCAAATGCAAAGGTCTTCTAGTGCTTCCAAAACATGTCCAGGCTTGGACTCTGGCAGACCTCAAAAGGAAGAGTTCTAGAGTTGAGGAAAAATGGCAGAGAACAACCTCTGACACATTTTTGCCAAGCAAACTTGACATACTCCGTATTTGCAGAAGGGTGCTCTTGGCCGACCTCTGGGATTGCCATGGGACTGGTGGATTATGAAAGCCTCATGAATGTGTACCCCCCCGGCAGAGGACACTTGTGGCTTGTACTCATTAGACAAGGGTCCATGGAGAGAGTATTTAGCTTAACAACTATGCTTTGACCAAAACCAGGTACATGTTGAGATGAATAGAACAGGGAAGCCAGTCTGACCATGGTCCTCTGTTGGGGCTAGTGGAGAATCAATATTCCCCCCCAAGCAGAATGATGGGACAGAAGTAATAAAGAAACAGTATATAAAGAACTCAGAAAAAACAAGGGGATGACCCTCACACAAAGTACTGAACAGGAGAGAGGAATAGGTAAGTATGTTTTCTGTAGTGGGAAATCATGGTTTAGCAGTAGGAGCAGGCAAGGCCAGAAAGGAGGTGACCTGAAAGGACTCCATGGTTCAGAAGACAAACTGGGAGCATCACAAAAGGATCCCACATCACCACAGAGGACCTGACCTCAGCCCTCAACATACTTTAGAGTGGTAAGGAAGCTAAAGCATGGAAAATGCATGCAGGGTTCATAGATCTGTGCATTTTTCAGGTTATTTAATAATGAGCAATGGTGCTTTCAGAATCCTTGCGCTAAGCCACCTGTGTGCATACAAATGTGCGCAAACAAATGTGTCTTCATGTTTGCTTTTACTATCAGCTATCCTTGAAGGGCTAAACCACAGCCTAGAATGCCCCTGGGGAAAGCGTGCATTTAAGCTACAGATGGGTCAGCATCAGATGCAGGGTGACAAATAGATGGATTATAGGTTCTAGCTTTTGGGTGAAGGTATGCTAAATCAAGGCTCTGCATACCAAGAGACCCCAGCTGAGCCATGGGCAGCATCTACAAGCTGTTCAAGCCCTAGAGCCTTGAAGCACACAGGATGCAAGGACTGGAACCCAACCTAGTTGTCAGGGCATGTCCAAACAAGGTAAGGCCTTGATCAGACCTACAGAACAAGATACTTTCTGTTCTTTTCAAGGTTTGAATAATCTCCAGTTAACACATCCATGAACTGGACAGCAAAATCATAGTTCCAACTACATGCCCTATTACAAAAAACATGCCCTATTACCCTGAAAGCTAGAAACTCTTGGCTTTCAGCACATTAACACATCTGTGATTCTAGTCACTGCTCAAATCAGAGAATTCAAGTGGTGAAAGATGGTAATTAACTCATGGCGATTTTCATTAAGGTAAACTTCCTGAAGACCATCAGGTCTAGAAACAGAGTTCTACACAGCATTGCCTTGAAGCTGAGATTTTATAGACTCAACAGTAATCCATCTGACATATCAGACCCTAGTTAAAGATATATCAACATAGATGTACTTTTCAGAGGCAGAAATGCACGTAGCAGGTTCAATGCCTCAGACAGTGCAACTTTCAAACCCTGATTTTACAAATTCAAGCATTAGCTTCAGTCTGTTTCTAGCATATCAAACATATATACAGTCAAGAAAGTTCTCCAAAATTTAGTTTACAAAAGCATGAGACACACTTCCTTTAATTATTGAATCCCTTATCAATGAAAAGCACCAAAAAGGGGTTGAGCTTAAAATGTACAGAGACTATTTTCTTACAGACCCCGGAGATGACAAGTTGTAGCTGAAATGCTGACTTACCATAAATTATCTCAAACACACTTTCATTTGACCAACCCTTGTTCCTTGTAGCACATTAAAGGGGAAGTCAGAGATAAAACATTTCCTTCCAAAGAAAAAGGTGGTCAAAGTATTAGATCTACTCACTAATTTGTCATAAACGAAGCAAGGGCTTAAGGTGTAATGGGTAAGAGTGCACTGCCCTAGAAGTCTGCTGAGTCTCATCTAAAATTTAATTAGCCAGGAAAGCAAAAGTCCATTCTGAACTGGATTTCCTCCCTGTAACCAGGAAGGACACCCCCCTACTGCCATGCTAGAAGCTCAGACATGTTCTAATTTACCAGATTTATCTGAAACGAAGACAACTTAATTTAAGGTGACCCATTCCAAAAATTAGATTCCATATATGGAAAATGTATAAATCTGTGCCCCCGCCCACTTCTCTCCCCTGCAGCCTGCCCCCTCCATCATGCCTGTGCCCCTTGCTCCCCTGCCTGCCCCGTCTACCTACCACTGACTGTCCTTTACCTCCCACTCCCCACAGCCTCTACCTTTGCGCCCCCCCCGTTCCCCACTGCCTTCATCTCTACAGCCTTCCCTCCCCCCCACCACTTAG